CTCCCCCCTCCTCTTTAGACAGGGTTTCTCTAATAACCCTTTCTTTCCTTAAACTCACCGTGAAGACCAGACTGACTTTGAACTCATAGAGATCCGCCTGCCACTGCCTCCCTACTGCTAGGATTAAAGGAGTGTGCCACCACTGCCTGTCTTGTTTTTCTGAGTATCACAAAAGTTTATTTAGCAAAAAGCTTCATATGAAAACGTACATGATCCAGTTCTACACCACAGTAAAACAGGCTCATTGGGTATGGTTGTGCACTTCTTGCCTGAACAGCCTTTGTTTAAACTCTTTCCAAGGCTTTCCACATGATGATGCTGTTCTCTTCTATGCTACTATTCCAATGTTATTTTGTTGCCCACTAGTTACCATCTCAAAGTTCATCAGTGGCAAGATTCATAAAGGGATCAAAGCCCTGTAGAATTCCTTGTATGTCTGCCATCATTTAACTTCAGTGATAACTTATTGTCCATAAATTTCTCAGTTTGGGAGTGTGGTCCTTGCTTCATGGCTACTCTAGCAGACCTGATGAATTTCTGAATTTCTTAAATGCTGGGATTACTATGGACCTGAATGTTTTAAGTTTTGTGGATTTTTGTTTTGTTTTGGTTTTTGTTTGTTTTTTGAGTGGGGTTTTTCTGTTTAATAGCTCTGGCTGTTCTGGAACCTGCTCTGTAGACCAAGCTGGCCTCCAACTCAGGGATCTGCCTGCCTTTGTTTTCTGAGTGTTGGGATTAAAGCTGTGTATCACCAATGCCTAGCTGTAGATATTTTCATTAAAAAAAAAGTATCTATCTATCATCTATTTATTTATTTTGAGACAATATCTCTGATTGTCCTGGAACTCATGGAGATGTGCCTGCCTCTCCAGTGATGGGATTAAAGATATTCACCACCAAGCCAGGCCTTTGAAATTCCACAGCCTGGATTGTGCTGAGTGTATCCCTTTGGTTTCATATAGTATGTTCTTCTGTTCCCTGTATTTCTATAAATAATAATAAGCTAGATTTAACTCATACTTGAATTTTTATCTTTTTGCTTTTGTGTCATTTTGAGACTGCATTGCATGTAAGCCCAGGCTGACTTGAACTCACTATGTTGCTGAGGATGAATTTGAACCCTAATCTTCTACCTGTGCCTGTTTTCTAGAGCTTTTAATATATGGAATTACTTTTTATTATCTTATTTTTATATTTTTTAAAAAAATTGAGAGTGTCTCATGTAGTTGTTTCCAAACTGGAGATGTGCCTGGTGCTAGCTTTGAATTTCTT